TCAGTTGGGAGTTTTGCTTCTGTACCAGCCTCCCTGCTGTGTAGCAACCTCCCTGCCTGAGCTGCTGGAGGCCATCTCAGGGTTGGCGGTGGAGTTCCCCAGGCCTCAGAGTTGGCTTGGGAGTTCATGGCTACCATGATGGCCTTGGGCCTATCCCAGGTCATCTATGGCCCAATTTGGGACAGTGGTCACACTCCAGACATGGTTTTCTTGTCAGAGCAGTGGCAGCATGATCTGGCGGGGGATTTGATATTATCCCCCCTGTCAAGGTCAGACCACTTCCTGGTGGCCTTGAGATTCTCCTATGCTGCCCCCCTCCTCAGGGAGGTGGGGTCTATTTGAATGGTCCACCCCCAGAGACTGGTGGACCCACAAGTGTTCCAAAGAGAGCTGGGGGTTGTTCCTGAGGCCTTGCTGTGGAGGTGCTGGCCACAGCCTGGAATAAGGAGGCGGCTGGGGCTTTGGACAGATTCGTGCCTGTGTGCCTCTCTTGGCCCATCACCCCCAGCACTCCCTGTGATTTACAGGGGAGTTAAGGGAGCTGAAAAGGGCCAAGAGACATCTTGAGTGCCACTGGCGGAAAACTAAAGACAAGTCCAACTGAACATGGGTTAGAGCCACTATTAAGGCCTACCTTGTGGCGGTAAGAGTAGCAAAAGTCATTATTTCTCCACTCTTATTGCATCTTCAGAGTGTTGCCCAGCAGCCCTGTTCAGGGTCATTCATTCCCTCCTGGGTAGGAAGGCTTGAAAGACTATCTACAGGGCCGTGCAGAGGAATTTGCTGAACACCTGATGGATAAAATTACTCAGATCTGTTCTCAATTGGAGGCCAAGTGTGAGGCGAGTCCAGTGGAGATGCCCGGGAAGTGGACTTACCCAGTTATCTGGGAAGAGTTTGATCCTGTTGGCCCTGAGGAAGTGGACAGGGTCCTTGGGGCTGTGAGCGCGGCTACCTGTATTTTAGATCCCTGTCCCTCCTGGTTGATTAAAGCCACCAAGGAGGTGACTTTAGGGTGGGTACTTGCAGGAAGGGGTGTTCCCGAAGCCTTTTAAGGAGGCTTTGGTCCGCCCCCTCCTCAAGAAACCATCACTAGATCCCACTCTTCTGGACAATTTTCGTCCAGTTTCCCACCTTCCCTTTTTAAGAAAGGTGGTGGAAAAGATAGTCATGCAGCAGCTACAGAGGATCCTGGAGGAAATGGATTATCTGGACCCCTATCGGTCAGGCTTCAGGCCTGGTTATGTGTCAGGCCTAGCACAAAGAACTCCTGGAGACCATGCAGGTTCAATCAGCAAGGTTTATTAGCCAGCGCCTGTTTACAGAAATCTCAGACTGACCACTAGCTCCCAGGCACAGCTATTCACTATCTTCTGGAATTTTTAGGGATGTGCCAGTTTCCTCTGCTTATCTCCAGAGCGTTGCTCTGGAGACGAGAGCGTCGTTTTCAACCCCCTTCCTCCATTACAATCCATCACATTATGGGACAGAAACAGCATTGGTTGCACTTTTAGATGATCTCTGGTGAGAGCAGGATGGGGGTAGTGCACCCATCCTTGCTCTTTTTGACCTCTTGGCAGCTTTTGATACCATCGACCATGGTATCCTTTTGGGTTGGCTGCAGGAGCTGGGGCTGGATGGCACAGTTCTGTGCTGGTTCAGCTCCTTTTTCCAAGGCTGAACTTAATCAGTGTTGATAAGGAGCAAGAGGTCCAACCCTGAGGCACTCTGTGGGGTGCCTCAGGGTTCAGCGCTCTCGCCGCTCCTATTTAATATCTACATGAAACTGCTGGGTGAGATCATCCAGCACCATGGGATGAGGTATCATCAGTATGCTGATGATACTAACTATACATCTCCATCCCTGGTGATCTAAGTGTTGCTGTGGCTACCCTTTCACGGTGCCTGGAGGCTATAGGGGCCTGGACGGGGGACAACAGGCTTCAACTGAACCCTGGCAAGACGAAGTGGCTGTGGGTACAGGGAGCCTCAAGATCAAGAAGTTTATCATCTTTGATTCTTGACGGGGTTGCAATACCCCAAACAGATCTGGTGGGTAATCTTGGGGTCCTCCTAGACTCACAACTCCTGTTCGAAGAGCAGGTGGCAATTGTGGCTAGGAGGGCCTTTGTGCAACTTCGTGTCATGCATCAGCCATGCCCCTTCCTGGATTGGGAGGCTCTCCACACAGTCACTTATGCCCTGGTCACTTCCCAGTTGGATTACTGCAATGCGCTCTACATGGGGCTACCCTTGAAGAGTATCCAGAAGCTACAGCTGGTGCAGAATGCAGCAGCATGGATAGTTCTGAATGCCCCCAGGCCTTCAATGCCCTCTGTTACATGAGCTGCATTGGTTGCTGGTTTGCTTCTGGGTCCAGTTCAAGGTGTTGGTTATCACCTTT